TAAACCCTCAACCCTAAACCCTTCCAGGGACCCCGGGCTCCTCCAGCCACTTTGCCAGGTCGACAGCCGGGCCCTGGAATATCGCCCGCTGGTGACAGAGGCAGATCACCTCGGTGCCGGGGTTTGGGGTTTAGGGTTTAGGGTTTAGGGTTTAGGGCGCTTTGAAACAAAAGCGCCCCAGGGGTTTAGGGCTTTGGGGTTTGGGGGGGTGATAGAGGGTTTCGGGTTTAGGGACTTGTTGGGTGATAGGTGTTAGGGTTTGGGGTTGAGTTCTGTGAGCTTCTGAGAGAAAGAGTATACCCCTTAAGCTGTTGGGGTGTAGAAGGCTTATGGTCTTTATGGGGCTTCGTCCGCAACATAAATGAAGATGCAAGAGAGTTCCTCTATGAGAAATCCTACATGTGATTTCAGACTTAGCTCACGGGCGTTCTGTTGAAGAGTTTAAGGTCTTTTCAGGTGGCTTGGGGTTTAGGATGTATGGTTTCTGAGGCTGGGAGTGCAGATAAGGCTTCTTGAACCCACCGGTTGAGGGAACAACGGCTTTGCGCAGGCCGGGATTAAAGACGTCACCTATTGTAGGCCAGAAGATGAGGTTCAAGGCGTTGTTTCGAGATTTGGCGGTTTTTCCGTGAGTTGATTAGACGAGCTCCCGTGCCGGGATTCGTGCTTTTCTGAGTTTGAAGGCTGGTTGCGAGACCTGGCGAGCAAAGGATCGCTCCGGGATTTAGGCGACACTGGGATTGCTTGGACTAATGACGGTATAGGGTTTAGGGTTTGGTTTAGGTTGCCAGTGTTGTATGGCTAGGACTGGCATTGGATCAAGCCACCATCCGGCAGAATGCAGTGTTGTACGGTGCCATTGGCAATCCCAGATCTCAGAAGTTCCCGCAGAAATACAAAGCACTTCGCCATCAATATGTATGCATCTTAGCTCTTAATTACACAGTTATTCTCGTTCATATTTTGCTAATCACCCTTACTACCCTTTCGAGGCAAGCATGAGACGTCTTGAGAAGCCTTGGCCCTACGACCCTAAGCCGTGGCTTTGACGTGACTGAAAGTCCCGGCTACTCAAGGCTGCGGGCTTCCGGCTGCGAAACTTCAGGTGGGTTTTGGGAGGCGTAGGCTTTGGGATCGAGGTCCTGGCCCGGTCCACCATTGCGAAAATCTCCTGGCAATGCTGGGGAATTGGACTTATGAGATATGCTAGATGTCAATCACACTGTGAGACTTGATAAGTTTGAGAGAACCCGTGGATTGCAAAAATGAAAGATTTACCCTCGGATCACGACGAGAAGGCCAGTTTCCTCACAATTCGGGGACGGCAGGGAGATGACGGGGATAGCTGCAATGCATACCATCTGTCGCAGACCCCACCAAAACCCTGAACCCTAACCCTAGACACCTGAACACCCTAAACCCGACAGTAAAGCCTTAACCGTGAACCCAAAATCCTAGAGGCCTGAACCCTAAGCTCTAGCCAGCCCTAAACCCTCCGACCCTAAACCCTAAACCCTAAACACTAAACCCTAAACTCCGAACCACAAAGCAAGAAGAGAGCCAGCTGCTCCGAGGACGGCTGGTGGATGGTGCAAATCACGGTGCCTCGAGACTCACAAAATGAGACTCAACGATGTAGGGCTTGGGATTTAGGGCTTATAGGGCTTAGGATTTAGGGTTTAGGGTTTAGGAGTCAGGGTTTTGAGGGTTTTGGGCTTGAAGTGTTTCCGGTTTGGGGGGTTCAGGGGCTCGACAAGTTGTTTTGTTTAGATTTTCGGGTTCGTGCTGGATTGGGTCTCCCGCGCTGGAGTTGGAACTCAGTCAGGATTCTCTTGAAAACTCTTCGGGGTGACTGCTGGAGAACTTCCATAACACCATATTGACATTGGATCATACTGGATCTGAAGGCACTGCAACACTTTTACATCCACACCACGAGAAGCTCTGAGCAACGACAAGGAATCACAACATCGCACGATTCGTCATGACAGTAATGCATTACAGTTCCGTCCTTCAACCAATACCTAAGCTCCTTCCAGACGGCAAAGCACTTTGGGGTCTGATGGAGGGTCAGGGGCCTGTGTAGGTAGGCTGTACACCCCATGTAGGGCACTTCTACTTCTACTTAAACCTGCTTACTGAGCCCCTTGGTTTGGAAGGAAGGGCGCAGTGGAACACAACGAGCGACAGTGCCAGCAACAACATCCATGGACATTCATACATGTTATATACCAATGAAGCCGAACTGTCTCTCGAAGGCCAACAGTGAACAGTGCTAAGAAGCTGCGCAGCAAAACGAAGAACAAGAAGAAGAACCAAAGCAGGGACTATCCCAACAGCGGCCCGGGGCCCATACAGCCACTGAGAGCAAGATCCTTGACGATTCGCATAACCTTCCAGGCAGTTCTGAACACTCCCTGCTTGGAGCCTCAGCCCAAAACGGTTTTGGGTTCAGGGGTCTAGGGGTTCAGGCATTTTGGGTTTGAGGTTCAGGGGTTAGGGCCTAAGCATGCCTCAACCGTACAGGAAAAATTGCAGACTTCGGGCTTCTAAAGTTCTCCAGCCCCGCGCCCCATCTCGGAGTTGGGATGTTGTGAAAGCCTGCAGTCCTAACTCCTCACCTGCTCCCATAGCCAGGTCTCCACTCTCCGAAACCCTGAGCAGAAAAGCTGACGTAACATAGGGACCAGAATGATGACCAACAGTATTCCTGATGGCTCTGATTACAACTGTTTTAATATACCCCAAAACCCCAGTCTAATGACTGAGGCCCTCTGTTACTCTACTTGGAGGCCCTTTTGACTTAGGAAGTAGGGTTAGTAAGGTGGGTTATGGGGATTATAATAGGG